TCCCATCAGGTGCTTCCAGAATCCTGGAGACAAAAGTCTGTTTGGCCATACAGGAAGCTTCTTGAATAGAAATACATCGTGACACTTTCATTCCTAGATAGCCACAGTTCCCTTCAGCGAGGTGAAGCTTTCTTGTGGTCGCCTGCCTCCACCTCATACAGGCAACAAGTCACTGAGGGGAAATAAAAACTCCTGTTACATAGAAAGTTTTCTCTTAAAAAGGGGAAAAAAAATGAATGTATAAAATCCTAGTAGAATTATTTACTTTTCTGGTCTGCAGTTGATTTTGTTCTGTTGGTGCTGCTTGTGGCCTGGTTTTTGCAATAGTGGTTTCATTCTGCAATGTGCCAACTGTGTATCTGCCACTCACTTTAACAGAGACAGCCCCAACTTTTACCCAGGCCACAGCTGGTTTTAAAGACACCAGGTAAACTAATGAATATTCCCATGATGAGTTGCAAATTTTGTTTTAATTGAATCTTTGAAGGCAAAAAAGGGAGTAAAGGGCCCATTAAATAAATTATTTTAATATAGCAATTAGATGATGCAGGCTCTTCTGTGTTTATTGAAAGGCCAAGTCAGCCCCAAGCTCAGCTGTGTGAGAACAGCCCAGAAAGCTGGACAGTTTTTGTACTCTGCTGCTGTTTTAGGGCCAGATCTCTCTCCCTGAATAGCATATTTTGAAGTGGCCATGTGAATTCTTATTAGGCATTCAAACACAGATATAAACCCATGCATTGTAAACAGAATTATACTGCACAGAAACTGAGCAAAATACAGTAAGATCTTTTCTTTTTCAGGTTAACCAGGCATGTTGTTTTTTTTTTTTTTTTTTAAAAAGTCCACCCACGCAGAGAGGCTGGAGAATGCCGAAGCTGCATGAATTTTAATTATGCTAGACATGTAACAAGGAGCTACCTTGTAAAGAATAAAGTTAATAAAACATGGATATGGGCTTAATTCTGTTTAATAAGCGGCCCTGTCAATGCACATTTTTGATGTAATTTACACAGTGTGGAAATTGGGTACAATTCTTAAGAGGTGTCTGCATGCAGACTTTCAAACTCAACAGTGCCTTCCTATTGGAAGAGATTTGTTGCTATGCTGCTATCAAATGGTGAATTAGGCCATTCATAATTATTGGCCAGAGATGGGTGTCTTTTTTTCCCCATTCAACTACAGGAACATGCATATACATTCTGAACTGGTATTAAATGTAAATCTCTTCCTTAATTTTCATGTATGCATTTTCAGCAGCTCTGCAGATAAAACAGCAAAAAACCTGCATATATTTGTAGCTGTAGTTAGCTCTGTGTGTACAGAATTAGTAAAGCAGAGATATGCCTAATGACTGAATCTACAGAACACAGCCCATGGCTTTTGAAGACTATGAAAAATAAACAGGATATTCTGTTAGCAACCCTGCGGGAATTATTGCACTTCACTAAGGAAAGATGCCAATAACCTCAGTTTTGACCTAGATAGATTGTTCTGTTTAGGAAGGTAAGGGAATGCAATTCTAGATCTCTTCTCTGTTTCAGTCACCAAAGCCCTGAAACTCAGCCATTCATTTTAAACCTCAGCACTGAGGACAGAAGATTTTATTTATCAAGAGAACAAAACCTCAGAAATTACAGTGTCTTGAAATGTTTATATTGGTCACTTTCTACAGTGAGTGTCTAATGCAGAGGCTCCTGTATGCTTGGGGTGAGCATATTTAATGAGCATAGTGAGTCTGATCCTCCAACAGCCCTGGGGAGTTCAGAACTCTGGCTGCTCCTGTGTGCCAGATATGGAACCTTTCTCCACAAACTGCAGGAGGAGCATTGGCATATCTCTCCACCATGATCAAAACACTGTGTTGTTCATTTTATGAACCAGTGCCATTCTTGCGTTCCCTCTTCATAGGGTGCATTGTGCAGCTTTCCAGACTAAAACTGAAGTGAGGAGGGAGCCCAGGGCAGAAGAGGCATGGGAGAAAAATTGCCATAATAACTCTGCAATAAATATATTAATTATATTGTATTATATTTATATATAAATATGTTTTTAAAATTACATTCTTTAGGGAAAAATGCCATATTGGCCCAGTGTCAAAAAATTCGGTTTCCATTGGTGGCAATAAGGAATGTAGCCTGAGGATTCAACAGGGGCTAGCTGCATGGCTGCACTACCCTCAAAGAGAAGTAGCTGATACAGATGAAAATGGAACCCTGCTTTTGAATTCTGCTTACCCAAATGAAAGTCAAAGGAGAGAATTTCCACTGGCAGAGACCAAAGACAAGGAGGTTTTTCTGTTTCCCTTGGCAGCCCATCAAAGGTAACATTTCACCTGTGAGAATGACAGTGCCACGGGTATGATGAGGTTGGTCTTCCATTCTCCAGCTCAAGACTGCTCTGGGCTTGCTTGGTGTATATAAAAATGTGGGCTCTTCAGAAAATTTTGTGAAGTTGTGGCATGATTCAGAGTCGTGCAGAGCAGATGCTCATGTCAGTATTGTCACCAGGAGCTCATGGCACTGTGCCCGTATTCAGAACCAAACCCTGTGGACTGCTTGGCCATCTATAGATAAGGACAGACCTGCATGTTGGCAAATGCAACATTATATTCAGTTTCACAAGCCCTGGTTTAATTTAATTCCATCACTGCAGAAGCAGAAAGACTTGTGAAAAGCCTTTCTTCTATCTTAGGAGTTGCAGCAACTCTCTTTTCAGATCCACAAATCACCAGGAAAGAAAATACTGTGAACGACTTTATCACTGATTAGGATCATTTTTAAGTGCAGAGCTGCCGCTCCTTGTTTACAGCTACACAACAAAACAAATTAGTAGCATGTCAAAATAACTGGAACTTATCTAATACGGTGCAGATAAACCAGCAGTTTTTCACCAGAAATATGAAGACTACAGGGGAAAAAAGTATTTTTATATATACATGGAAAACTTTTTTCTTGAGAAGATATCAGATTTGCTCACATCCTTTGAAGATGAAGCTTTGGATAATTCACTGGCAGTTCAGACAGTGATTCTCTTGATTGCAAACAGCTTTCTTTAGGCCATGCCTGTACCTTGTACTGCAATAATTCTTTGATGTCAAGTGAAATAATCCGATAGAGAAAAATTAAAATATGAAGCATTTTAGTTACAGGAAAGGGAAGAAAAAACCTTTATTGATTGGGATGATGAAATCTGCTCGAAAAAGTTGGCAGCAGTTAAAAAGAGATCAACAGCCAAACATTTATATCTCCCAAATGGTTTTGAATATTTTCTTCTCCTGCTTTCCCCTCGAGAACCTGATTCCGCTTTGCTATGGTATGCATAGAGACTAAGAGTGAAAATCAGGAAGTAATGCCAGAGTTTAGTTAATCTTTGTGGACATAGTGGGTGGTTGTTTCAGTTGCCCTTTTTCCCCAATACATTAAAATAATTTAAAGCCGAAGTTCTTGCAGTGAAGTAGTTAGAAAGATCATTTTGCTGAAGTTGATAATTCCTAGGGGATGTCACCAACTGGTTTAAAGTGCCCTCTTCACTTGGGAACACGCATCACCCCTAAACATTCAGGACTGGATTAGGCTCGTCCTGCCGCTGCTACTTGCCAAAGTGTGGCTGCGGCAGGTCCTGTCTTTCCAGCCCAGATCCCCTGTCCCTCCAACCTGACCCCTGCTCATCACCTAACCAACCTAACAGCTATCATTGCTAGCCGTTACTTGAACCTGATATCTGGAGAGCACCATCCCTGTGGCAGCAACAGCAGTTACTTCTCTGGATAACCAGAGATGTATCTATCTGCACCTTAAGTTTTGTTTGGTGCAGTTTTGTGGCCGGATATAGGCGGGAGCCGGGCCAGCACCTGCTGATGCACTAGTGGTCTGTCTTGGGACCGCTGCAGCCGGAGGCAGCCCGGCAGTGCCCATCGCCGCTACAGCCGCCTGCGCGCTCCCCGGCCGAGGAACCGGCCCCCGGCAGAGCATCCTCGGGGTGCCGGCGCTGTCGCTCTGTGTCTGCTTGCACAGAGAAGCAGGAAAAGCCACGGAGATGCTCAGCTGCCGAGGCTGGGTGCTCGGGCACCGACAGCAGTGGCGAGGGAGGCGGCCGGGGTGGCTGCAGGACCCGCAGGCGGCTCGGCCGGCGGGGTCCGGAGGACTGCGGCCCCGGGGAAGCCCGGCGGGGTTGGCAGGGCTGCCCGGGCGGAGGGAAAGAGCCGCCGCGGAGCTGCAATTGCCTCGATCTGCCTGCGCGATGTTTCTCATCCAAACCTCGATCACGTAGGATTGCGTAGAGGAAGGCGAGCGGGAGCAGCTGCAATTCTCCTGGAGCCCGGCTCCCGCCCGGCACCGAACCAGCCCGCCCCGCCCGGCCGCCGCGGGGCTGCGGAGCTCCCTGCCGCCTTGGCAGCAGCCGCGAGCGGCGTGGGCGTCCGGGGGGGCTTCCCCGGCCCCTCCCTCCTCTCTCCTCCCCCCTCCCGGGCCGGGCCGGGCCGGAGGATGCGGGCGGGCAGCGGGCGCGGCTCGGCTCCTCCTCGCCCCGCCGCCGTCGGGTGGCACCGCGGAGCATCCTGAGCCCCGCACGGAGCAGCAGCAGCAGTGGCAGCCGCACCCCCCCGCCCTTCTTCTCCTCCACCTCCTCCCCGCCTCGCATCGCTCCTCCCGCCGCTGTCCCCGCCGCGGCAGCCGGGCCCGGGGCCGCCCCGGTGCCGAGCGCTCGGCGGCCGCCCGGTCGGCCGGACGATGTGGGTTGCTGCCGTCGGAGAGAGCCGGTGCCGGGGCAGAGGCGGCGAGCAGGGCAGGGGAAGCTGCGCCAGCCATGGCGCTGTGAACGCGGGGCGCCGAGCTGCGGCGATGTGAGCCCGCACTCGCGGGCGGGTGCTTCTTTTTTTTTTTTTTTTTTTTTTTTTTTTTTTTTTTTTTTTTTTTTTTTTTTTTTTTAATTTAATTTTTTTTTGCCTTTCCTCTTTTTAATTTGTTTGCTGACCTGCTGCTTTTCCCCGTGGCTGCTTTTTCCTTCCCCTCCCGCCCTCTCTGGGAGCGGAGTGGGGAGGGGGGCAGAGGAGGAAGAGGAGGAGTGCGAACTGAAATGCAGCGCTGCTCTCCCTGAGCCCGGCCGCGGAGCCGCGTCCATGTGCGCGCCCCGCCGCGCAGCGCCTCGGAGCCACCGCGCTGGGGCCGGGGCTGCCCGCGGGCCGGCGGGGCTCTGACTCATCCCACGGCCCCTCGCCGGAGGGCAGCCGGCGGGAGGAAGCGCCGCCGCCTGCGCCCGGGCGGAGCGGAGCGGCACCGCGCCGCAGGGACCCGCGGATCCTCCGCGCCCCCCTATCCTTTGGACACAGCTGTCGCCGGCGGACCTTCGTCAGCGGGGCGGCCGCTCCCGGATCTACGCGGCCGCTGCGAGCCCGGCCGGGGGGTCTCGCCGACGGCCGCCCGCGCCGGGATTTGCGCTTCTGGGGACAGACCCATGGGCGGCGGGGTCCGGCGGCCAGCCATGGTTGTTTGCCCGGGCGCCCTGCTCCTCCTGGCCGGCTGAGCCCTCCCCGGCGCCGGGACCCGGGGCTGCAGCGCCTTAAGCGGGTCGTCCCCGTGCCCGGTCCCCGCGGGGCGCGGCGGCGACTCGGCCCCAGCGCGCCCGAGCGGCGCCCCCCGGAGCGGCGCGGAGCGGCGCGGGGGGCCCATGAGCGGCGATGGCAGCGGCTATCGCCAGCTCGTTGATCCGGCAGAAGCGGCAGGCGAGGGAGTCCAACAGCGACCGGGTGTCCGCCTCCAAGCGCCGCTCCAGCCCCAGCAAGGACGGGCGCTCCCTATGCGAGAGGCACGTCCTGGGGGTCTTCAGCAAAGTGCGCTTTTGCAGCGGCAGGAAAAGGCCGGTGAGGAGGAGACCGGGTGAGTATGGAGGGCCAGGGCCTTGGGAACCCGCTCCGCGGAGGGGAGCAGCCCCGAACCCGCTGGGATGGCTGCCCCGGGGCTCCTCTGGCGCCGCTGGGGACCGGCTGCGGACAAGGCTTGCTCCGCGCTCAACTTTGGCCTGGGTCCTGACGGATCTTCTCCGGTCTAGCGGGATGGGTGGGCATCGACTTGCCGCCAGCATCCCTCCGCCGCTGTCCGAAGCGTGAGCACAGCGGGTCCTCCGGCAGGAGGGACCCAGCGGCTTCATCTGTGCGAGCTTCACCTAGAATTGTATTTTTCCACCTCCTTGCAGATAAGTTTTTTAAACGGTCTCTTATTTTCTGCATAGTGACAAGGAAATCGATAAACTGAGGATCAATTAAAATTGTGGGCATTTGATAACTAAATCCATCAAGTGCTACTTCATGAGCAGAGTTCCGTAGGGAATTTAGTTAGCTTAGAAAGCTTTCTGTATGGCAGCTGCAGAATGGTTACACCTGATACTGAGCTTGCAAGGATCTAGAAATGCTCTTTTGGGTAATCCTTTCCCCCCCTTCTCTTTCCTTTATTCTTTTTTGCATGTATGTGCTCAGTCTTGGTTCTTCGTGAAGAACTTCAGCCCTAGTGTACACACTGTTCACTTTTCCACGAAGTCCCACTACCCACAGTTTTATTTCTGAGCAGTGCTTTGTGCTCTCAGCCATCCTTTGTAGGTGTAAAAACTCAGTACCTGGCAAGAATAGGCCCTCCATGATTTCTCAGTGGAATTATTTACTTCTTGCTTTATTTTTTCCACTGCTATAAATCACCACTAAGGAAAGAAAACAGAGATTGGTTTGAGAAGCTGCTGTGAACCTGTAGTTTTCTCGTGTCCATTAGTGTCGTGGTTAAAAAACAGAGATACTTGTTCACTCAGGCCTTCAGCATGTACCAGCAAGCAGTGTAACCCTCCCATGTTTTCCTTATACATTAGTATTGTGCTAGTGCTTCAACAGGAAAGTTGCCCTTCTGTTTTTTGCTACTCAAGGTATGACGAGCGGTGGCTTAGTGGACTATCTTATATATTAGTTAAACTGTGAACCAAGACCAAAAGACAGTCCTTGCCCAGAAAGCCTTGGCATTTTGTCTCAGGAATCACTCTTTGAAGGATCAGAAGTAGGAACTAGGAGTCACACTGACAAAATCATTTTCTGTTCCTCTTTCCTCTCCATCTCAATCTGCTTTTAAATGAGGTCCCATAAGGACCTAAAGAGTTCGGAAGTCTAGACCTGTTACCTAGGTTTCAAGATGCTTTGTCTCATTAAAGTTTGAGTGACTTACGGCAGGGTGTGGTTGGGAGGCTTTTTATTGGTTTATTGTTCCCAGCTTAACAGGTCCAATTCTGCTTCCATGGACTCAGTGAAGAATTGAGGAATTGAAGAATTCCCTCAACTTTTATGGTCTTTCATACTGAGGAATGTTTTTGATAATTTACAGACCAGACTGATTTAAGGGAGACTTTTTATTGACTTAGAAGAAGGATCGATGCCACTCAGTGCTGTAAAAATAGAGCTGTTCAGTCTTTAAAGCTGTCAGTCAATCACTTGTAACAAGTACTGTATTCATTTTATAAAATTAAAGAAGTAGAGTAATTAAGTTGCTGTGAAAAAAATCCAAATGTCCTTTCCAGCCTATGGGCTGTGTCTGCTTTAGTTCCCAATATCCATCTTTTAAATAGAGATTTATTTCACTGGTACATCCTATTCCTGATCTTGGGTGTGCTTCTCAGAAGACAGCATGCCACGGGGATGCTGCTACTCTGATTGTTTATTCAGGGAGTGTATTGTGCCCGGATAACTTACGCATTCCAGAATCAAGTTTCTGCACAGCAAATGACATGCAAATGAATTGAAAGTATTTTCAAGAAATGTGCATACACTGTGCAGTGACCCACAGCCCCAGTGATTATGTCTACTTAATGATATGCTGGCTCAGTAGTTTGCAAGTCAGTGAAAGGAATGAGAGAAACATCCGTGTTCAAAAAGGATACAATCACATTTGAAAATGGTACAGTCCTAGGGGATCTCTCTTTACCTTTTTAAACATGACGTTGTTTTGTGACTATGAGGAGAATCTGTCAAAAACCTTCAGATTTATAGAGTGGTTTTCATCTGTTGTACTCAACAAGCTCTAATAAATGGAGAGGATTTTTCCTGTTCTACAAGCATGGAGAACTTACTTGACACAGAGACCTAATTCCTGATGCTCATCCCAGCACACCATGCTTTGGATCCCCACCACCAGTGAGCTCACGATGCAGCAATGGTGGAGCTGTAGCAGCTTGTGCCATTACAGAAATGTAACTCTGATGATGGTTCATGTTCCCTTTGCTTCTGTAGAGTAACTGTGTGAGCTTACATCAATTAAATGTTTTTAATATGTGACTCAAAGAGTGCTGTAACTGAAATATTCAGTAGAGATGTGGGTGAGCGGAGTTTTTTTGCACTGGTTGGCACCTTGTGCTCCACACTGCAGCCTGTGTGAAGAGAAAGTGACGTACTCCTGCTCTCTTATGGGAAGGGAAAGTTTGCACCCCGTAGCAGTTAAGTCTTACTCAGTGGTGGGCATGAGTAGTCACAGGTTTTGGCAAGCTATGGGGAACCAGGTCCATGCAGGGATATCTTGTATAATCAAAGCTATCAGCTCCTAGGGAGAAGTTGAATGCAGAAACATCTCATTTATTGTTTGCAGTAGGGACCATGTTGTAAACTGAGAACTAGTTCTGTCTGTCTTTTAAATGGGCAAAGACAGCTGTCTCACATACACGCATTGTGTTCTTTTATAGCTCTCGCATGTGTTTGGTTCCAAGATGACTTATCAGTTTAAGATAGGCCAAATAAGGACACTGAGTGCTGTGGACTAAACTGAACATTTGGACACACGGGCTTAATACCATTATTGTGAGTTAATACAGGGCATTGGCTGCAATCGTCCATCTATAAATTATGTATTTTTCTCTGACCATAGTGACTTGATAAAGGATTCAAAAGAAATTACTGTATGGGACGGCTTGTTAGTACAGGTTCAAGAAGCGGATTTTTCCTCAGAGACTGGTAGGTCCAAGAGTTGAATTCAGAAGAGTTGACAAGCAGCTCTCTCCACATGACTTCTCTGCCAACAAATAGTTGAACCAAGTAGTTTCATCCCCTTTGTGTCTGAATTAAAGCATCCAGGCACGTCCCTTCTTCAGCTGTTTTGTAACAGTCTGGGAAGCCTGGGCTGGAGGGTCCAGCTTGTTTGTGAAAGCTGTTGCTGATGCTTCACTGACCATCTCAGGCAGAGCTCACCCTGGGGAGCTGGGGTGGAGGTGGCCTTCCGTGATGCTATGGTCACTGAGCGGCAGAGCTGAGGAGTTTGGCAGCCTTGCATGAGGGGAAACAGGCTGGAGTATCTGTGGGGGTTGGTGGAAGTTTTATCTGAGTGAAGCCCACTGAAAGGGTGTTGTTACTCGGGTAAATCAGATTTGAATTGAGGTAGCTTTGGGTCAAACAGTGTAGCAACACTGTGTAGCATCGTCTCCATCCCTTCAGATGTTGCTTCTGTAGATGAGTTCCCAGCTCAGATGCAGAGCTCAGTCTCAAACAGGTTTTTTTACCCCAGGAAAAAGAAAAAAAAAAGTTATTACTTTAATTCCTTTTTTTTCCCCTTGTTAGATATATATTTTGTGCTCCTCAAGGGGAATGATGTTTTTCCTTAAGGAGATCTAAAGGCTTCTTCCAAAGTGAAGGAAATGACTTGCACATAGCAAAAAAGCAATAACCAAACCCATGTTTACCCTTTGCGGTATTTCTCATTTTGAATAATAAATAGAGATTTGGAACTTAAGATATACGGATGTAGATACTGTTGTAGCAGTATAAGTAAAATATAAAAGCAAATTAGTTGAAGGACATAGAAGGACTTTGTTCATTCGGAGATTCATTTAAAACATTTGAGAAGTCTGTCATCTCTGCAAGCTGTTAAATTCCCTGAGTTAAATCCTGAAGTCCTTTCTGATTTAATGCAGGGTGAAAATGATGATTGAAGCTCAGGGTAAAAGCTACGTTTTTATCTTCCTGTAAATTTGTTGTAGTCCTTCTCTGCTTTTGTGGAGTGGTGCATCTCAGAACAGCTGTAATATCTCCCCAACCTGTGGAATTTGGATTCTCTGTTGCTAGTGTCTGACTGCTGGCTACATTATCCCAGTGCATAGCTGCTCCCAGCATTTTTATACAGCATGTCCGTGTGTCAGGGTGTATGCCCAGCTAATGGTGGTCCATCACATTCTTCTGCCTGCTCCCCTGCAGAATCTGGAGCTATGTCTCTTATCTTAAGAAGTGGCTGATGAGAATGGAAATGGCTGGAAATCCTGACATTGCCTGGCCAGCAAAAGCTCGTAGAAGTGCTAGCTGAGATGAGGGCATGGATGACAAGTCGCCAGCCAAACATGAGCCAGGATAACACCAAGGGGAAGGGCACAGCTTTGAGGACGTGTGTCCTCCTTGTTTGGGGCAGTCTGTCGTCGCTAGATCTGATCTGCCCTTGGTGCTGAAATCTCCTTCTATACCTGCGGGTGCTAATGAATGCCAAAATAATCGGGAGGGAGGAAGAGGCTCCCTCCTGCTTGTGACAGCTCAGCAGATGGGTTTCATTTTATCAAATTGATCCCTGGGGGTGGTATCACACACATTCGTGACTTGCAGATGTGGTGACTGTCACGGTGCGTGGCTGTGCTCGGTTACTGAGGAGGGGGGTCAGGTAGCAACCCTGAGCTATCTGTCTCTAAAATCTGGTAAAGAGCTGCAGATTCCTGGTTTCCTCCAGAGCAGGAGAAATCAGCTGCCAGCCCGCTTCAAACACAGCTTATGGGTGAGCATGTCAGTCAGTAAGCCTCTTCGTACTAGTGCTGAGTATGGTTGATGCCAAGAAAATCCATGGAAGTCATCCAAGCTCCGAGAAGGATGGATATCTTCTGTCCC